GAGAAAGGAGGAAGGGGGGGAGGAGGCGGAGGGGGGGGGGGGGGGGAGGAGGGTGGGGGGGGTGGGGGGGGGGAGGAGGAGGGGAGGAGGGTCGGGGAGAGAAAGGAGAAGGGAGGAGTCTGGGGATGAGGTGAGGAGGGAGGGGGAAAGGGTGAGGAGGGTGGGGGGGAAGAGGAGGGAGGGTGGGGGGGAAGAGGAGGGAGGGTTAGGGAAAGGGGTGGGGGAGGAGAGGGAAAAGTTTACTTTTACAGAAAATCTATTAGGTGACCTTACCCCACTGGGCTGGTCCCTTGGCTTCGGCACGCTTTATCCTGTTATCTGTGTTTTCTGCCAGGCCTGACTTTCGGCTAGTCTTCATGGTTATCCAGGTTCACTGCCTGGCCTGACCCTTGGCTTGTACCCTGACTATCCATGTCCCCTGCCTGCCCTGACCTCTGGCTGCTATCCTGGTTTGCAGTCTTGCCATCTGTTATGTCCATCACATGAGGAGTTCCTGGTGGACACCAGCTGGCCCTCAGACTATCGTCTTGGGGCATTCATGTGGGACCATCACCTTGGCATGACAAAGACTCAGCAAGGGCCCCATAGCACATCTCCATTTACCAGCTCCTCTCCATTCCCTCCGGACCTTCTGTCAACCAACATTTCTCAGGTTCACCATCTCCTGTGGGGTATCTCCTGTAGGGTCCTCATTGGCATTGCCATAGTTAACAAGGTATAATCCATTCTAAGGAAAGCCGGTGAAAAATCTCCTCTAGTGGGCATCATTTGTGCTTTTTGCCCCATCTGGTCATTTTTTTATCATTTTTTTCACGTTTTATTGGAAAGTTTCTAAAGTTGGTGAAAAATGAAAGCGGAGAATTATGACGACACGCAGGGAAGGAGAATGTGGTCTGTTTGCGATACGATGGATCGTACTCGGCGATGGGGGATTGTACAATGCCCGGCTCTGGGTAGGAGGGTAATTATAGACAGCATTCCTGAGATGGGGGAAAGTCCATTGTTGGGATGAAGCCCCCTGAAAGAGGGCCGATAATTCGCACCCGGCGCCTAGAGCCTCACTGCACGTTTACGGGTTTATTTCTCGAATAACGGGGTATGTAAACCAGCTGTGGTGGCGACTTTACAAGGGATAGAATTAGACGCTGCCTAGAGGCACCTCTAATCCTGCAATGCCACAATCTTTCCTCTGCAGACCCCAACCAGAGGAAACTTCCCCAGATGCTGGGGCTGGGTGTTAACCCCTTGGCACCCAGTCATTCTGTTTTCATCTGAGAGCCCCGCCCTTACTCCTCTGGGGAGATATGGATCCAATAGGGGCACACTGATCCCCAATCAACACCACTGACCTCCGATGAAAGGAAGGGGCACTCTGACCACCACTATGCCGCAGGGGGGTACACCGGGAACATATGTACCTAATAGGGGCACACTGATCCCCAATCAACACCACTGACCTCCGATGAAAGGAAGGGCACTCTGACCACCACTATGCCGCAGGGGGGTACACCGGGAACATATGTACCTAATAGGGGCACAATGATCCCAATCAACACCACTGACCTCCGATGAAAGGAAGGGGCACTCTGACCACCACTATACCGCAGGGGGGTACATTTGGGACATATGGATCCAATAGGGGCACACTGATCCCCAATCAACACCAATGACCACCGATGAAAGGAAGGGGCACTCTGACCACCACTATGCCGCAGGGGGGTACATTGGGGACATATGGATCCAATAGGGGCACACTGATCCCCAATCAACACCAATGACCACCGATGAAAGGGAGGGGCACTCTGACCACCACTATGCTGCAGGGGGGTACATTGGGGACATATGGATCCAATAGGGGCACACTGATCCCCAATCAACACCACTGACTACCGATGAAAGGAAGGGGCACTCTGACCACCCACTATGCCACGGGGGGTTACACCGGGAACATATGGACCTATTAGGGGCACAATGATCCCCAATCAACACCACTGACCTCCGATGAAAGGAAGGGACACTCTGACCACCACTATGCCACGGGGGGGGTACACCGGGAACATATGTACCTAATAGGGGCACAATGATCCCCAATCAACACCACTGACCTCCGATGAAAGGAAGGGGCACTCTGACCACCACTATACCGCAGGGGGTACATTTGGGACATATGGATCCAATAGGGGCACACTGATCCCCAATCAACACCGATGAAAGGGAGGGGCACTCCGACCACCACTATGCCGCAGGGGGGTACACTGGGGACATATGTACCTAATAGGGGCACACTGATCCCCAATCAACACCACTGACCTCCGATGAAAGGAAGGGGCACTCTGACCACCACTATACCGCAGGGGGGTACATTGGGGACATATGGATCCAATAGGGGCACACTGATCGCCAATCAACACCACTGACCTCCGATGAAAGGAAGGGGCACTCTGACCACCACTATACCGCAGGGGGGTACATTGGGGACATACGGATCCAATAGGGGCACACTGATCCCCAATCAACACCGATGAAAGGGAGGGACACTCTGACCACCACTATGCCGCAGGGGGGTACATTGGGGACATATGGACCTAATAGGGGCACACTGATCCCCAATCAACACCACTGACCACCGATGAAAGGAAGGGGCACTCTGACCACCACTATGCCGCAGGGGGGTACATTGGGGACATATGGACCTAATAGGGGCACACTGATCCCCAATCAACACCACTGACCTCCGAGGAAAGGAAGGGACACTCTGACCACCACTATGCCGCAGGGGGGTACACCGGGAACATATGGACCTATTAGGGGCACAATGATCCCCAATCAACACCACTGACCTCCGATGAAAGGAAGGGGCACTCTGACCACCACTATGCCACAGGGGGGTACACTGGGGACATATGTACCTAATAGGGGCACACTGATCCCCAATCAACACCACTGACCTCCGATGAAAGGGAGGGGCACTCTTACCACCACTATGCCGCAGGGGGGTACACTGGGGACATATGGATCCAATAGGGGCACACTGATCCCCAATCAACACCAATGACCACCGATGAAAGGGAGGGACACTCTGACCACCACTATGCCGCAGGGGGGTACACTGGGGACATATGGATCCAATAGGGGCACACTGATCCCCAATCAACACCACTGACCTCCGATGAAAGGGAGGGGGCACTCCGACCACCACTATGCCGCAGGGGGGGGTACACTGGGGACATATGTACCTAATAGGGGCACACTGATCCCCAATCAACACCACTGACCTCCGATGAAAGGAAGGGGCACTCTGACCACCACTATTCCGCAGGGGGGTACATTGGGGACATATGGATCCAATAGGGGCACACTGATCCCCAATCAACACCAATGACCACCAATGAAAGGGAGGGGCACTCTTACCACCACTATGCCGCAGGGGGGTACACTGGGGACATATGTACCTAATAGGGGCACACTGATCCCCAATCAACACCACTGACCTCCGATGAAAGGAAGGGGCACTCTGACCACCACTATACCGCAGGGGGGTACATTGGGGACATATGGATCCAATAGGGGCACACTGATCCCCAATCAACATCAATGACCACCAATGAAAGGGAGGGGCACTCTTACCACCACTATGCCGCAGGGGGGGTACACTGGGGACATATGGATCCAATAGGGGGCACACTGATCCCCGATCAACACCACTGACCACCGATGAAAGGAAGGGGCATTCTGACCACCACTATACCGCAGGGGGGTACATTGGGGACATATGGATCCAATAGGGGCACACTGATCCCCAATCAACACCACTGACCACCAATGAAAGGGAGGGGCACTCTTACCACCACTATGCCGCAGGGGGGTACACTGGGGACATATGGACCTAATAGGGGCACACTGATCCTCTAATCCTGCAATGCCACAATCATTCCTCTGCAGACCCCAACCGGAGGAAACTTCCCCCAGATGCTGGGGCTGGTGTTAACCCCTTGGCACCCAGTCATCCTCAGCCATGAGGTGAAGGAGAGGCTGCCCACAGCAAAGGCCAGACTGCCACATGGCAGCAAAGTGGGTTGCCCACTGCAGGCACAGCAGATCCTTTCATTGGGCTGGTGTGGCAGTCCACATGTTGAAGCGTTCATTGCCGCAAGGCACGTGACTTGTGTTCGCACGCTGCAGTGCCATTCATTTTGCATGGCACCGCATTTCTCAATGACACAAACGGCTCCGACGCCCGCACCGCAGTGTAAGAAAACGTACCACAGTGCATGGAGCTGCCAAGAATGAGATGATTGGGGCATCGCCAGCAAATTCATTTAAATGGCCGTAACGCATCGCGCATTACAACACGGCAGAGGTGTGACCGGGACCTCAGTACTGGCTGGGGAAAGGGGGACAGGAATTGGAAGGGTCCTAAAAGATACAGAAGTTGGCCCTTTAGGCTGCATTTGCAAAGCACTTCAGAAATTAGACACAAGCAGCCAGTGCGCCCAAATGTCTGTGATTGAGCTGTCAGACAACAGGTACAGAGCCCATCCCCGTGGCTCTGTGACTTGTGATGACAGTAAAGGCCAAATCACAGTGATCACATATACAACACACACTTCATCTGAGAGCCGCCCCTACTCCTCTGGGGACATATGGCTCCTATAGGGACACACTGATCTCCAATCAACACCACTGACCACCGATGAAAGGGAGAGGCACTCTGACCACCACTATGCCGCAGGGGGGTACATTGGGGGGACATATGGACCTAATAGGGGCACACTGATCCCCAATCAACACCACTTGGCACAATGCAGTCAGGCAAGTACCGTTCTCCTGGCCACCGCCAAACCCTGACATGTCCATCAGATTGCCAGAGAAGCGTGTGATTGGTCACTCCAGAGAACACGTCTCCTCTGCTCTAGAGTCCAGTGGCGGCATGCTTTACACCACGGCATCCGATGCTTTGCATTGCACTTGGTGATGGAAGGCTTGGATGCAGCTGCTCGGCCATGGAAACCCATTCCATGAAGCTCTCTACGCACTGTTGTTGGGCTCATCTGAAGGCCACACCAAGTTTGGAGGTCTTTAGCTATTGACTCTGCAGACAGTTGGTGACTTCTGCGCACTGTGCGCTTCAGCATGCGCTGACCCCGCCCTGTCATGTGACGTGGCCTACCACTTGGTGGCTGAGTGGCTGTTGTTCCCAGTGGCTTCCACTTTGTTATAATCCCACTAACAGTTGAGCGTGGAATATTTAGTAGCCAGGAAATGTCACGGATGGACTTATTGCCCAGGTGGCCACCTATCACGGGACCACGCTTGGAGTCACTGAGCTCCTGAGAGCGACCCATTCTTTCACCAATGTTTGTAGAAGCCGTCTGCATGCCTAGGGGCTGGATTGTATACACCTGTGTCCATGGAGGGGATTGGAACACCTGAATCACATGATATGGAGGGGATTGGAACACCTGAATCACATGATATGGAGGGGATTGGAACACCTGAATCACATGATATGGAGGGGATTGGAGCACCTGAATCACATGATATGGAGGGGATTGGAACACCTGAATCACATGATTGGGAGGGGATTGGAGCACCTGAGTCACATGATTTGGAGGGGATTGGAACACCTGAATCACATGATATAGAGGGGATTGGAGCACCTGAGTCACATGATATGGAGGGGATTGGAACACCTGAATCACATGATATAGAGGGGATTGGAGCACCTGAGTCACATGATATGAAGGGGATTGGAGCACCTGAGTCACATGATATGGAGGGGATTGGAGCACCTGAGTCACATGATATGGAGGGGATTGGAGCACCGGAGTCATATGATTTGGAGGGGATTGGAGCACCTGAGTCGCATGATATGGAGGGGATTGGAGCACCGGAGTCACATGATATGGAGGGGATTGGAGCACCGGAGTCATATGATATGGAGGGGATTGGAGCACCGGAGTCACATGATATGGAGGGGATTGGAGCACCGGAGTCATATGATTTGGAGGGCGGGGACAATACTTGGGGATATATAGTATAAGTACCTGTAATAAATGTTAGCATAGTGACTCCCGCACTGCAATGCTGCATTCGATTCCCGGAACAATCTCAGGATCTGTACAATACGATACATTCTGTTTTTTGTCTTTTACTTATTAAAGGAAATGCAAATGTCCCATATACCGGGCAGTAGCCGTGTGCCTCATATACCGGGTAGTAGCCGTGTGCCCCATATACCGGGTAGTAGCCGTGTGTCCCATATATACCGGGTAGTAGCCGTGTGTCCCATATACCGGGTAGTAGCCGTGTGTCCCATATACCGGGTAGTAGCCGTGTGTCCCATATACCGGGTAGTAGCCGTGTGCCCCATATACCGGGTAGTAGCCGTGTGCCCCATATACCGGGTAGTAGCCGTGTGCCCCATATACCGGGTAGTAGCCGTGTGCCCCATATACCGGGCAGTAGCCGTGTGTGCCCCATGTACCGGGCAGTAGCCGTGTGCCCCATGTACCGGGCAGTAGCCGTGTGTCCCATGTACCGGGTAGTAGCCGTGTGCCCCATATACCGGGCAGTAGCCGTGTGTCCCATATACCGGGCAGTAGCCGTGTGTCCCATATACCGGGCAGTAGCCGTGTGTCCCATATACCGGGCAGTAGCCGTGTGCCCCATATACCGGGCAGTAGCCGTGTGTCCCATATACCGGGTAGTAGCCGTGTGTCCCATGTACCGGGTAGTAGCCGTGTGCCCCATATACCGGGCAGTAGCCGTGTGTCCCATATACCGGGTAGTAGCCGTGTGCCCCATTATACCGGGTAGTAGCCGTGTGTCCCATATACCGGGCAGTAGCCGTGTGCCCCATATACCGGGCAGTAGCCGTGTGCCCCATATACCGGGCAGTAGCCGTGTGCCCCATATACCGGGCAGTAGCCGTGTGTGTGTCCATATACCGGGTAGTAGCCGTGTGTGTCCCATGTACCGGGTAGTAGCCGTGTGCCCCATATACCGGGCAGTAGCCGTGTGTCCCATATACCGGGCAGTAGCCGTGTGTCCCATGTACCAGGTAGTAGCCGTGTGCCCCATATACCGGGTAGTAGCCGTGTGCCCCATATACCGGGGTAGTAGCCGTGTGTCCCATATACCGGGCAGTAGCCGTGTGCCCCATATATACCGGGCAGTAGCCGTGTGTCCCATATACCGGGCAGTAGCCGTGTGTCCCATGTACCGGGTAGTAGCCGTGTGCCCCATATACCGGGTAGTAGCCGTGTGCCCCATATACCGGGCAGTAGCCGTGTGTCCCATATACCGGGCAGTAGCCGTGTGTCCCATGTACTGGGTAGTAGCCATGTGCCCCATATACCGGGTAGTAGCCGTGTGTCCCATATACCCGGGTAGTAGCCGTGTGTCCCATGTACCGGGTAGTAGCCGTGTGCCCCATATACCGGGCAGTAGCCGTGTGTCCCATATACCGGGTAGTAGCCGTGTGCCCCATATACCGGGTAGTAGCCGTGTGTCCCATATACCGGGCAGTAGCCGTGTGTCCCATATACCGGGCAGTAGCCGTGTGTCCCATGTACCGGGTAGTAGCCATGTGCCCCATATACCGGGTAGTAGCCGTGTGTCCCATATACCGGGCAGTAGCCGTGTGCCCCATATACCGGCAGTAGCCGTGTGCCCCATATACCGGGCAGTAGCCGTGTGCCCCATATACCGGGTAGTAGCCGTGTGCCCCATATACCGGGCAGTAGCCGTGTGTCTCTTTTACGCAGAAAGGAAATGAAATCCTTGGAGGAGAATACAGGACATCGGAGTGCACAGGTCAGGGAGGAGGGAGGACTTGTACCCCCCCCCCCACCACCACCACCGAGGCCTGTTTATTCCTGCAGCCACGCCGCACATTGGCTGCCATACTGATTAGCTGTACGCGGCGCGGTTCACATGCCGGTCACCGCCTAATTAACTGTGTTTAAACAAGCAGTAGGAAAACATATTAGATGGCGAACTCGTGGAGAGGCATGTCAGGAATGGAGAGGTTTGCTTCCAATAATCTGTGGAGAGCACAATTCACCCCTTCCTCTCCCAACCAGCCTGGGGCCGATGCAATGTCAGGTCTCAGCATTGTCACACAGCAGGCTGAGAGGTGACAGACACGACCACCGCGTGGCCCCGAGCGATCAGACTCCCCCTCTGACATATGGCAAATGGGCAATAATTGGGACAAGTCAGAAGACGGATAATTGGAGGAGAAGAGCACAGAGGGGACGTGGGATGGAAATGGAAGTTTCTGGTTCAGGGCGATGGAGGGCGAAGGAGGGCGATGGAGGGCGATGGAGGGTGATGGAGGGCGAAGGAGGACGAAGGAGAGCGAAGGAGGACGATGGAGGGCGAAGGAGGACGATGGAGGGTGATGGAGGCAGATAATCACCAAACAGGAAATCGTTCAGTCGGCCTGGAGAGGTCAATGTGGAAACAGGAAACACCACCGGCCAGAGGAATACTCCCATCATCCTGCACCAATCAGGAGCCTGCCAAATACACAGCCACTGCACTGCAGGATCCCCATTATACCAATGATGGACCCAAGCAACACCCCCCCCCCCCCCCCACACACATCCCCCCCCCCAAGCCACATATGTATTCATTATCAGCATCCTCCCATATACCCCAATAGAGTGTAAGCTCTTCTACCTCCTGTATCCTCCCGTATACCCCAATAGAGTGTAAGCTCTTCTACCTTCTGTATCCTCCTGCTGTATACCCTCATAGATTGTAAGCTCCTCTGCCTTCTGTATCCTCCCGTATACCCCAATAGATTGTAAGCTCTTCTACCTCCTGTATCCTCCAGCATACCCCAATAGAGTGTAAGCTCTTCTACCTCCTGTATCCTTCCGTATACCCCAATAGATTGTAAGCTCTTCTACCTTCTGTATCCTCCTGCTGTATACCCTCATAGATTGTAAGCTCCTCTGCCTTCTGTATCCTCCCGTATACCCCAATAGATTGTAAGCTCTTCTACCTCCTGTATCCTCCCGTATACCCCAATAGATTGTAAGCTCTTCTACCTCCTCCTGTATCCTCCCTTGCCACCACATGCGCCAGTCTTTATACTGAATTTTATACTCCGCCCCCCATGATGTCACCGGTTCCTAGTTGACTCAATCGGTTTGATGGGCCCAGAACTGCGAGGCTTCAGGCAGAAGCGGAAGGCCTGAGCTGTCAGTCAAGAGAAGGCAAATTATGGCCTTTCAAGGCCTCAGCGCCTCACAGGAGTCTCGGCTCATAAGCTTCCATTGATTAGTCAGCCGTTACAGATGGAAGAATTTGAAGGAGTCCCCCCCCCAAACCTCAAAGTAAAACCTCAATCAGGACTCCAATCACCCCAAACCTCCATACAGAACCTCGATCGAGGCTCCAATCATCCCAAACCTCCATACAGAACCTCGATCGAGGCTCCAATCATCCCAAACCTCCATACAGAACCTCGATTGGGGCTCCAATCACCCCAAACCTCCATACAGAACCTCGATCGAGGCTCCAATCACCCCAAACCTCCATACAGAACCTCGATCGAGGCTCCAATCATCCCAAACCTCCATACAGAACCTCGATCGAGGCTCCAATCATCCCAAAACCTCCATACAGAACCTCGATTGGGGCTCCAATCACCCCAAAACCTCCATACAGAACCTCGATTAGGGCTCCAATCACCCCAAACCTCCATACAGAACCTCGATCGGGGCTCCAATCACCCCAAACCTCCATACAGAACCTCGATCGAGGCTCCAATCACCCCAAACCTCCATACAGAACCTCGATCGGGGCTCCAATCACCCCAAACTTCCATACAGAACCTCGATCGAGGCTCCAATCATCCCAAACCTCCATACAGAACCTCGATCGAGGCTCCAATCATCCCAAACCTCCATACAGAACCTCGATCGAGGCTCCAATCATCCCAAACCTCCATATAAAACCTCAATCGGGGCTCCAATCATCCCAAAACCCCATATAACACATTGACCAGGGATCCAATCACCCCCAAACCTCCATACAGAACCTCGATCGAGGCTCCAATCATCCCAAACCTCCATACAGAACCTCGATCGAGGCTCCAATCATCCCAAACCTCCATATAAAACCTCAATCGGAGCTCCAATCATCCCAAAACCCCCATATAACACATTGCCCAGGGATCCAATCACCCCAAACCTCTCTTTAAAAAAAAAAAAAAAAAAAAAAGATCAGGGCTTCAATCACCCAAAACTCGGCATCCGAAACATTACTGGATTACGTGGAAAAATCTTTAAACTTCGCTCTGAAAACCAGAAAGCACAGGCTTCGGAATCGGTGAGGACCAATCAGAAATCATCTTTCACGTGTTTCTGGTGGTAAGGTCAGTGAAAAGAGAAATGTGGAGGTTCCGGGATTCTGGACTTCATTGTTGCAGAGGAACGAGCCGCATCATTAATAGAGGTGAATGTTTCCGTTCTCTTCATCCCCGAATTCCCCCCCCAGTCACACAGACATGTGACCACCGCAGAACAGCTTAGCTGACCAATCCGAATCGCCACTGCAATTCAGCCCTGAGGGTGGAATGTCACACCCCGATAATCAGTTACATGTCTGGGGGGGGGGGGGGGACGACTCCTTCAAATTCTTCCATCTGTAACGGCTGACTAATCAATGGAAGCTTATGAGCCGAGACTCCTGTGAGGCGCTGAGGCCTTGAAAGGCCATAATTTGCCTTCTCTCCTCCGGGCAAGTTTAGACAGAACTCCTCTGTGTGGTTAAGAGCAGCTGGGGGAGGGATGGGGGGGTACAGGGATGTCTATGTGTTCTACGCAGACCTTGTTTGCAGCCTGGACCTGGTTCACATTTATGGACACTCATTGAATTAGTGAACGTCACGTTGTTGGTGAGCAATGGTGACAGGCCAAAGGTGATGTCTCCTGGGGCTCCAATCATCCCAAACCTCCATATAAAACCTCGAGTGGGGCTCCAATCACTCCAAACCTCCATAAAGAACCTGGATCAGGGCCTCCAATCACCCAAAACCTCCATAAAGAACCTCAATCGGGCTCCAATGACCCCAAACAGAACCTTAATAGGGGCTCCTGTCACCCCAAACCCCCATATAAAACCTCAATCAGGGCTGCAATCACCCCAAACTTCTATATAGAGCCTCGATCGGGGCTCCAATCACACCAAACCTCCATATAGAACCGCGATTGGGGCTCCAAACCTCCATATAAAACCTCAATCTGGGTTGAAATTACCCCAAGCCTCCAGGTAAAACCTCAATCAGGACTCCAATCACCCCAAACCTAATACATATAAAACCTCGGCTGCACTCACCCCAATCCTCCATATAGAACCTCGATCGGGGCTCCAATCACCACAAACCTCTATACAGAAACTCGGTCGGGGCTCCAATCACCACAAACCTCCATAAAGAACCTCAATCGGGGCTCCAGTCACCCCAAACCTCCATAAAGAACCTCGATTGGGGCTCCAGTCACCCCAAACCTCCATAAAGAACCTCGATCAGGGTTCCAATCACCCCAAACCCCCATATAGAATCTTGATTGGGGCTCCAATCATCTTATAACCCCCATAAAAAACTTTAATCAGGTCTCCAATCACCCCAAACTCCCATATAAAACCTCAATTGGGGCTTCAATCACCCAAACCTTCTATATAAAACCTTGATCAGGGCTCCAATCGTCCCAAACTTCCATACAAAACATCGATCAGGGCTCCAACCACCCTAAACCTCCCCATAAAACCTCAATCAGGGATCCAATCACCCCAAGCATCTCTTTATAAACCCTAGATCAGGGCTCAAATCACCCCAAACCTCAATATAAAACCTCGATCGGGGCTCCAATCCCCCCAAAACCTCTCTTTATAAAACCTAGGTCGGGGCTCCAATCACCCAAAACCTCAATATAAAACCTTGATCAGGGCTCCAATCGTCCCAAACTTCCATATAACACATTGATCAGGGCTCAAATCACTCCAAACCTCAATATAAAACCTCGATCGGGGCTCCAAACACCCTAAAACCTCCCCATAAAACCTCAATCAGGGATCCAATCACCCCAAACCTCTCTTTAGAACACCTCGATTGTGGCTCCAATCACCCTAAACCTCCATATAGAATCTCGATTGGGGCTCCAATCACCTTATAACCCCTATATAAAACTTTAATCAGGTCTCCAATCACCCCAAACTCCCATATAACACCTCAATCAGGGCTCCGATCCCCCAGAACCTCTGTATAACAACTCGATCAGGGCTCCAATCCCCCAAACCTCTGTATAACACCTTGATCAGGGCTCCAATCCCCCCAAACCTCTGTATAACACCTCGATCGGGGCTCCGATCCCCCAGAACCTCTGTATAACACCTTGATCAGGGCTCCAATCCCCCAGAACCTCTGTATAACAACTCGATCAGGGCTCCAATCCCCCCAAACCTCTGTATAACACCTCGATCAGGGCTCCAATCCCCCAAACCTCCCATAAAACCTCAATCAGGGCTCCAATCCCCCAAACCTCTGTATAACACCTCGATCAGGGCTCCAATCCCCCCAAACCTCCCCATAAAACCTCAATCAGGGCTCCAATCCCCCCAAACCTCTGTATAACACCTCGATCAGGGCTCCAATCCCCCCAAACCTCTCTGTATAACACCTCAATCGTGGCTCCAATCCCCCCAAACCTCTGTATAAACACCTCGATCAGGGCTCCAATCCCCCCAAACCTCCCATAAAACCTCAATCAGGGCTCCAATCCCCCCAAACCTCTGTATAACACCTCGATCAGGGCTCCAATCCCCCCAAACCTCCCCATAAAACCTCAATCAGGGCTCCAATCCCCCAGAACCTCTGTATAACACCTCGATCGGGGCTCCAATCCCCCCAAACCTCTGTATAACACCTCGATCAGGGCTCCAATCCCCCCAAACCTCCCCATAAAACCTCAATCAGGGCTCCAATCCCCAGAACCTCTGTATAACACCTCGATCGGGGCTCCAATCCCCCAAACCTCTGTATAACACCTCGATCAGGGCTCTAATCCCCCAAACCTCTGTATAACACCTCGATCAGGGCTCCAATCCCCCCCAAACCTCCCCATAAAACCTCAATCAGGGCTCCAATCCCCCAGAACCTCTGTATAAACACCTCAATCAGGGCTCCAATCCCCCAGAACCTCTGTATAACACCTCGATCAGGGCTCCAATCCCCCAAACCTCCCCATAAAACCTCAATCAGGGCTCCAATCCCCCAAACCTCCCCATAAAACCTCAATCAGGGCTCCAATCCCCCCAAACCTCTGTATAACACCTCGATCAGGGCTCCAATCCCCCCAAACCTCCCCATAAAACCTCAATCAGGGCTCCAATCCCCCAGAACCTCTGTATAACACCTCGATCGGGGCTCCAATCCCCCCAAACCTGGATTGTTTCCACACAAGACTCAGAATTTGACGCGAAAGGTTTGGTAGATGAATGGTGCGGACAGAAGCTAAATGTACAAACATGGAGGCGGGTTTATTGGTGCGTCTGGGAAGCACAAAAGGTCTCACATATAGGAAATGATGGTCTTTGGTTTTAGATCCACAAGATGTTTGTGGAAATGCTTTACGCCGGAGGTGGCCTCCAAGCTTCCCTGAGCAGCTGAGTAAGCTGGAGGGACGCTTGTCTTCACCATCTGCTCCTCACCCGGGACACCTCCTGAACAAACCCCGAGCTTCTTTCCACTTGTATTAACCTCAAATCAGCCATGAGGGCCCCTGAACAGGTCTTAATCCCAAGCAACGAGGGCCCAGCGCTTCCCATCTGTTCCAGCACAGGCAGAGTTAAGGGACAATAACTCCTTTTATCCTCTCCAAAGCGGCTTCTTCATTCATGCAAATACCACAGCTAGCTGGATGGAGCGTCAGCTCACCTTGTGATGGCTTCACCCCGCTGCCTACAAGGGGGCCGAAATATGCAGTTCTGGTCGATCATACGAGGCAGACGACATCTTCTGTCTATATGGTGTCTATGGATACCACAACAAATACTGTCTACAGCCCACAACCACCAATCAAAAGGCGCAAGGGTGTCTTTACATCATATTGATCTGAACTGCTTTTATAAAAGTCTAATGCAGTGACGATCTACTTTGATATGAGGGCCCCTGACATCACCAAAGGGCCCCACATAAATACTTTGATTAATGAGTCTCAGAGAGTGCAATTACACAACAGGAGACAGTCAGAGACTGCAGACATACCACAGGAGACGGTCAGAGACTGCAGACATACCACAGGAGACGGTCAGAGACTGCAGACATAGTACAGGAGACGGTCAGGAGACTGACTGCAGACATAGTACAGGAGACGGTCAGAGACTGCAGACATAGTACAGGAGACGGTGAGAGACTGCAGACATAGTACAGGAGACGGTCAGAGACTGCAGACATAGTACAGGAGACGGTGAGAGACTGCAGACATAGTACAGGAGACGGTCAGAGACTGCGGACATAGTACAGGAGACGGTCAGAGACTGCGGACATAGTACAGTAGACGGTCAGAGACTGCGGACATAGTACAGGAGACGGTCAGAGACTGCGGACATAGTACAGGAGACGGTCAGAGACTGCGGACATAGTACAGGAGACGGTCAGAGACTGCAGACATAGTACAGGAGACGGTCAGAGACTGCAGACATAGTACAGGAGATGACCAGAGACTGCGGACACAGTACAGGAGATGACCAGAGACTGCGGACACAGTACAGGAGATGACCAGAGACTGCAGACATAGTACAGGAGATGACCAGAGACTGCAGACATAGTACAGATGACCAGAGACTGCAGACATACTACAGGGGATGACCAGAGACTGCGGACACAGTACAGGAGATGACCAGAGACTGCGGACATAGTACAGGAGATGACCAGAGACTGCGGACATAGTACAGGAGATGACCGGAGACTGCGGACATAGTACAGGAGATGACCAGAGACTGCGGACATAGTACAGGAGATGACCGGAGACTGCGGACACAGTACAGGAGATGACCAGAGACTGCGGACATAGTACAGGAGATGACCAGAGACTGCGGACATAGTACAGGAGATGACCGGAGACTGCGGACATAGTACAGGAGATGACCAGAGACTGCGGACACAGTACAGGAGATGACCAGAGACTGCGGACACAGTACAGGAGATGACCAGAGACTGCGGACACGGTACAGGAGATGACCAGAGACTGCGGACACAGTACAGGAGATGACCAGAGACTGCAGACACAGTACAGGGGATGGTCAGAGACTGCAGACATAGTACAGGAGACGGTCAGAGACTGCAGCCATAGAACAGAAGATGGTCAGAGACTGCGGACACAGTACAGGGATGACCAGAGACTGCAGACACAGTACAGGAGATGACCAGAGACTGTGGACATAGTACAGGAGATGACAGAGACTGCGGACACAATACAGGAGATGACCAGAGACTGCAGACACAGTACAGGAGATGACCAGAGACTGCGGACACAGTACAGGAGATGACCAGAGACTGCGGACATAGTACAGGAGATGACCAGAGACTGCGGACAGTACAGGAGATGACCAGAGACTGCGGACACAGTACAGGAGATGACCAGAGACTGTGGACATAGTACAGGAGATGACCAGAGACTGCGGACACAGTACAGGAGATGACCAGAGACTGCGGACACAGTACAGGAGATGACCAGAGACTGTGGACATAGTACAGGAGATGACCAGAGACTGCGGACACAATACAGGAGATGACCAGAGACTGCAGACACAGTACAGGAGATGACCAGAGACTGCGGACACAGTACAGGAGATGACCAGAGACTGCGGACATAGTACAGGAGATGACCAGAGACTGCGGACAGTACAGGAGATGACCAGAGACTGCGGACACGGTACAGGAGATGACCAGAGACTGCGGACACAGTACAGGAGATGACCAGAGACTGCAGACACAGTACAGGAGATGACCAGAGACTGCAGACACAGTACAGGAGATGACCAGAGACTGCGGACATAGTACAGGAGACGGTCAGAGACTGTGAAAGTGCTACAGGAGACGGTCAGAGACTGAGGACCTTCTTCAGGAGACAATCACACTGGGGACCTATCCCATATCACTGCTATAAAAGGGCAATAAGGAAACACAGATTAGTGTCTCAAGGGGACCAGAGGGCCACACAGTGCCAAAGGGCCGCAGGTTGGGCACTAGTGGTCAATGCCTGGACACGCATTGTGTTCAGAAGGGTTCCTCGATAAGGATTTCTCCACTGATTGAATACAACCAGCTAGAAAACACGGCAACGTGGATTACACTTCGCTTCCTCACGGGATCCTGATTTACACGCTCCACAATTCAATAGTTCAAAGGGTGTTGGCCAACCCATCACATACACTCACCGCTCACTCTGAGGTCCACCTGTTCCATGGCTCAGTGACACAAATGACTAATCAGCCAATCACGGGGCAGCAACTCAATGCACTTAGGCCTCTAGACGTGGTGAAGACGACTTGCTGAAGTTCAAACCGAGCATCAGAATGGAGAAGAAAGGGGATTTAAGTGACTCTGAACGTGGCATGGTCATTGGTGTCAGACGGGCTGGTCTGAGTATATAAAACACTGCCGATCTCCTGGGATTTTTATGAACAACCATCTCTGGGGTTTACAGAGAATGGTCCGAAAAAGAGAAAATATCCAGTGAGCGGCAGTTGTGTGGAGGAACGTGCCTTGGTTCACACCAGTGCAGTCACTTCCAGGTGCAGAAAAGAAAAGTAGACCGTTCTGCATTTTATCCTTCTACTGGAACATAGCAAACTGCACCGGAACTGCATGTGGTGTGAACTGGAAGCAGAAATGTATCCGGAGTGCGGTTCTGTAGTGTGAACTCGGTCCTAAGAGCATATCTGTAAGTAATGTCAGTTTAAAATATCACTTCTGCAAATTAGCGGGGGGGGGGGGAGGGGGGGGACAAGATGGCAGCCATCATATACTTGGGGTATAAACAAGAGTTCAGGCCCACAAAAGTCTGACCAAGAGAGACATTGCCGCCATCCATGGCATAAACCTCTTGTCCTGGCTGGACGGTCACTCCAGAAACCTATTGTATCGACATCAGCGAAGGCACAGAGGACGGCGGCACACGGGACGGCGGCACATGGGACGGCGGCACACGGGACGGCGGCACACAGGACGGCGGCACAGCGGGGGGCGGCACACGGGACGGCGGCACATGGGACGGCGGCACACAGGACGGCAGCACAGAGGACAGCGGCACAGATCGCAGCACATGAAAAGGAGAATGATTTGGGTTAAAAAAAAAAAAAAAGAAAAAAGCTGCAGCCGCTCGGTTTCCTAACAATTGGGTTTCTTTGTACACGGAACGTGTCGGGGCGGCTGTGTCTCGGGGCGGCTGTGGCTCGGGGCGGCTGTGGCTCGGGGCGGCGGCTGTGGCTCGGGGCGGCGGCTGTGGCTCGGGGCGGCGGCTGTGGCTCGGGGCGGCGGCTGTGGCTCGGGGCGGCGGCTGTGGCTCGGGGCGGCGGCTGTGGCTCGGGGCGGCGGCTGTGGCTCGGGGCGGCGGCTGTGGCTCGGGGCGGCGGCTGTGGCTCGGGACAGTCTAGGCCACCGTTCCATGGTGAAGGTAGTCAATTCTCAACCAGAGTAAACGCGGCGCTCGTTTCAGGACGAACAATTTCCTGAGTGAAATGAGGGGATCTCTGAGCCAGAACCGGCAGTGCAAGCCACCAAGTGCTGCATGGGAGCCTCCATCCCCACCTATCAGTTTGCTTCCCTTTATCACCTGAGGAGAAGCATGAGAGCAGAAACTTCTGAACTCAAGGATGTGGGAAGCATAAAAGTCGGTTCAAGTTCCCAGAGAACTTCTGCGTTCAGAAAACCTGAAGTGTGAATGAGGCCCCATGCATGCTAGAGAGGAATCGGAGATTTCACCCAACTTTATTTAGAGAAATCCATTCAATCTCCACATGCATCATGTAACAGAACCGACCCCAGACTGTGCTTGGGTACTTCCAGCTTCAATGTCTGAACACCGACCACTGACACCACCGCCGACCATACAAGACTAGACGACACCAATCTGTCCGAACACCGACCACTGACACCACCGCCGACCATACAGGACTAGACGACACCAATCTGTCCGAACACCGACCACTGACACCACCGCCGACCATACAAGACTTGACGACACCAATCTGTCCGAACACCGACACCACAGAGACCATACAAGACTTGACGACACCAATCTGTCCGAACACCGACCACTGACACCACCGCTCACCATACAAGACTAGACGACACCAATCTGTCCGAACACCGACCACTGACACCACCGCCGACCATACAAGACCAGACGACACCAATCTGTCCGAACACCGACCACTGACACCACCGCCGACCATACAAGACTAGACGACACCAATCTGTCCGAACACCGACCACTGACACCACAGAGACCATACAAGACTTGACGACACCAATCTGTCCGAACACCGACCACTGACACCACCGCCGACCATACAGGACTAGACGACACCAATCTGTCCGAACACCGACCACTGACACCACCGCCGACCATACAAGACTTGACGACACAATCTGTCCGAACACCGACACCACAGAGACCATACAAGACTTGACGACACCAATCTGTCCGAACACCGACCACTGACACCACCGCCGACCATACAAGACCAGACGACACCAATCTGTCCGAACACCGACCACTGACACCACCGCCGACCATACAAGACTAGACAACACCAATCTGTCCGAACACCGACCACTGACACCACCGCCGACCATACAAGACTAGACGACACCAATCTGTCCGAACACCGACCACTGACACCACCGCCCGACCATACAAGACCAGACGACACCAATCTGTCCGAACACCGACCACTGACACCACAGAGACCATACAAGACTAGACGACACCAATCTGTCCGAACACCGACCACTGACACCACCGCCGACCATACAAGACCAGACGACACCAATCTGTCCGAACACCGACCACTGACACCACCGCTCACCATACAAGACTAGACGACACCAATCTGTCCGAACACCGACCACTGACACCACCGCCGACCATACAAGACCAGACGACACCAATCTGTCCGAACACCGACCACTGACACCACCGCCGACCATACAAGACTAGACGACACCAATCTGTCCGAACACCGACCACTGACACCACCGCCGACCATACAAGACCAGACGACACCAATCTGTCCGAACACCGACCACTGACACCACAGAGACCATACAAGACTAGACGACACCAATCTGTCCGAACACCGACCACTGACACCACCGCCGACCATACAAGACCAGACGACACCAATCTGTCCGAACACCGACCACTGACACCACCGCCGACCATACAAGACCAGACGACACCAATCTGTCCGAACACCGACCACTGACACCACCGCCGACCATACAAGACTAGACGACACCAATCTGTCCGAACACCGACCACTGACACCACAGAGACCATACAAGACCAGAGGACACCAATCTGTCCGAACACCGACCACTGACACCACACCGACCATACAGGACTAGGCGACACCAATCTGACCGAACACCGACCACTGACACCACCGCCGACCATACAAGACCAGACGACACCAATCTGTCCGAACACCGACCACTGACACCACAGAGACCATACAGGACTAGACGACACCAATCTGTCCGAACACCGACCACTGACACCACAGAGACCATACAAGACTAGACGACACCAATCTGTCCGAACACCGACCACTGACACCACAGAGACCATACAGGACTAGACGACACCAATCTGTCCGAACACCGACCACTGACACCACAGAGAACATACAAGACTAGACGACACCAATCTGTCCGAACACCGACCACTGACACCACAGAGACCATACAAGACTAGACGACACCAATCTGTCCGAACACCGACCACAGACACCACCGCTGACCATACAAGACTAGACGACACCAATCTGTCCGAACACCGACCACTGACACCACCGCCGACCATACAAGACTAGACGACACCAATCTGTCCGAACACCGACCACTGACACCACCGCTGACCATACAAGACTAGACGACACCAATCTGTCCGAACACCGACCACCGACACCACAGCCGACCATACAAGACTAGACGACACCAATCTGTCCGAACACCGACCACTGACACCACAGAGACCATACAAGACTAGACGACACCAGTCTTGAAGTAAACCAGGAGGTAGACTAGTTTTATTTGAACACAGATACAAGATATATACACTCAGGGGACAGTCCCCCCTCCCTGCATAATGACACAGGGCGGGGCAATCTACATTTAGTAACAAAGAGATACACCAACAGACAATCCCATCAGGAGGGAGGGCTGCTGGAGACACCCCCTACCAAGCCAATACAAATAAACACATACATCCAATAATAGTTTGCTCCCAAGCAAGACACACAATAGAACAATGGGATGCAACCACATGACACCAAACAATCCACAACCCCCCCCCCCCCCAATATTAGGACAGATCACCCTGTACCCCTAACAGGCACAGGGTGACTTACACATAAGAGGGATATGGGGAGCTGAGACAGGGGTCTCCCCACCTCTCCAAAGTGAGCTGGGTTCCATGGGCCCCCCACCCAAAGTGAGCTGTGTTCCATGGGTCCCCCACCCAAAGTGAGCTGGGTTCCATGGGCCCCCCACCCAAAGTGAGCTGTGTTCCATGGGCCCCCCACCCAAAGTGAGCTGTGTTCCATGGGCCCCCCACCCAAAGTGAGCTGTGTTCCATGGGCCCCCCACCCAAAGTAACTCCTGTCACAGATCATATATAAAAAAAAAATCCCAGTTAAAGGATAAATTCACCTTTAAAAAGAAAATAAATTCTGCAGGAAAAAAAGAAATATGGACATTTATTATCATTATTATTTTTTTTTTTTTGTTTTAGGAGCCTGTTGAGCATCGCAGCCGCGATCAGCTGATCATAGGTGCAGGGTCAGGCTCCTGCAGACCGTCTGCTCAGAGCTCGTATGGACAGGCAGTTACTTCAGTGCAGGGAGAATCAATGCACTACAATGGATGCTCACCGGCTCCCTGGAAGTTCATTGAGAAGTACAAGCCGCAAAGGCTGTCAGCACTTGTAGTGTATTCATTCACAGAACTCGGAGAATGAAGTTCGGAGCCCTGTGGGCGGAGCCCTGCACTGCTGCAATGTTTTCAAATTCAAACAGCGGGTGCAGGGAAAAGATCCCAGGCCTGATGTCACAATGAGGAGGGAGATCGGAACAGCTGCAGGAGGCGGAACATGTAGAATGTTTCCAAATGTGAACTCCTACCTGTGTCACCCCCAGAACTCTGGGACAAGACTTTGTTCATAAACAAAGCCATATCAAAGACCTATGGTAGAGGAGGAATAGTGCCCCATCATTGGTGTCAGTGGGAGGAATAGTGCCCCATCATTGGTGTCAGTGGGAGGAATAGTGCCCCATCATTGGTGTCAGTGGGAGGAATAGCGCCCCATCATTGGTGTCAATGGGAGGAATAGCGCCCCATCATTGGTGTCAGTGGGAGGAATAGTGCCCCATCATTGGTGTCAGTGGAGGAATAGTGCCCCATCATTGGTGTCAGTAGGAGGAATAGCGCCCCATCATTGGTGTCAGTGGGAGGAATAGCGCCCCATCATTGGTGTCAGTGGGAGGAATAGCGCCCCATCATTGGTGTCAATGGGAGGAATAGCGCCCCATCATTGGTGTCAGTGGGAGGAATAGCGCCCCATCATTGGTGTCAGTGGGAGGAATAGCGCCCCATCATTGGTGTCAGTGGGAGGAATAGTGCCCCATCATTGGTGTCAGTGGGAGGAATAGTGCCCCATCATTGGTGTCAGTGGAGGAATAGTGCCCCATCATTGGTGTCAGTGGGAGGAATAGCGCCCCATCATTGGTGTCAGTGGGAGGAATAGTGCCCCATCATTGGTGTCAGTGGGAGGAATAGCGCCCCATCATTGGTGTCAGTGGGAGGAATAGTGTCCCATCATTGGTGTCAGTGGGAGGAATAGTGTCCCATCATTGGTGTCAGTGGGAGGAATAGTGCCCCATCATTGGTGTCAGTGGGGGGGAATAGTGCCCCATCATTGGTGTCAGTGGGAGGAATAGTGCCCCATCATTGGTGTCAGTAGGAGGAATAGTGCCCCATCATTGGTGTCAGTGGGGGGAATAGTGTCCCATCATTGGTGTCAGTGGGAGGAATAGTGCCCCATCATTGGTGTCAGTGGGGGGAATAGTGCCCCACCATTGGTGTCACTGGAAGGAATTGTGCCCCATTGTTGTTGTCAGTGGGGGGAATAGTGCCTCAGCAAGGGTGGCAGTGGGAGGAATAGCGTCCCATCATTGGTGTTACTGGAAGGAATTGTGCCCCATTGTTGGTGTCAGTGGGGGGAATAGTGTCCCATCATTGGTGTCAGTGGGAGGAATAGTGCCCCATCATTGGTGTCAGTGGGAGGAATAGTGCCCCATCATCGGTGTCAGTGGGAGGAATAGTGTCCCATCATTGGTGTCACTGGAAGGAATTGTGCCCCATCATAGGTGTCAATGGGAGGAATTGTGCCCCATTGTTGGTGTCACTGGAAGGAATTGTGCCCCATTGTTGGTGTCACTGGAAGGAATTGTGCCCCATTGTTGGTGTCAGTGGGAGGAATAGTGCCCCATCATTGGTGTCAGTGGGAGGAGTGGAGCCCCATTGTTGGTGTCAGAAGAAGAGAGTGCCCCCAGAGGCAGATGAAGGCCAGCATTTCCTGGCAGGATCAGGTCATGTTTTCTGTAGTTAGTAAAAACGTTCTTAGCTTGAAAGAAGAAAACGAAGGCAGGCGGCACCCCTGAGGACTGTAATCTGCAGTGTATCACATTTTTCTTCTTGGGTTTAGTGATCCTTTACATAGAAGAAGGAACCTGCAGCCTATAGATGGAGTGGGCTGCTGGGACTTGTAGTTCCCCCGGTGGTGACAGGCAGGTACAAGGTCTATGTAGGCCACAGAAAGGCACATGTTCCTGCAGAGAGCGGCGGGTAACGTGTTCTGTCCTTGCGGGAGTCAGCATATCGATTGCAAAGACTTTTCCCTTCACATGTAGCAATCCACACGTGAAATAAACGTCATACAGAGCTCCGCCATCACCCCCTCCACGGCCCAATCACTGCAATCTATGGTGTCACTCGCTTTTATTAGGTCCCAGCTACCTGCCTCTAGTGCCTAAATGGTCACATGGTGAGACAGGCGTGACGAGTCACATAAACACGCCACGTCACGCATGCACAGCCCAGCAGGGCACCTGGAGGGCCCCTCTACAGGACCAGGGCTCCCGTCTTCCGGCTGACACCAACATTTCAATTTCTTGCATCAGCTCAGAAGGGACCAATGAGAGCGCAGCGTGGCCGGGTCCGCCGAGGTTCATGTTCTCAGTCCCCTGCTCATTGTCACTTTGCCCAGAACAGAAAGTTAGGCAATTAGGATGGCCTCCTGCAACCTCCCCCTTCCAATGACGGTAATTAGCAGGAATACACGGCAGACTGGCAGTTCCCGGACCGAACCACCAGGGACCGCTGGGGGCCATTCAGCGGGGAGTTCCATCATCTCACCAGCGGCAGTTCGGCTTTAACTCCTTGCTGCGGCTTGTGGAGGCTTTGCCTGCCGGGGAGGAGGAAATGAATTCGCCGTCCGTGTTGTGCGAACGTTGGACACCCCGCGGCCTCGCCGGTTGCTGCGTTCACCAATAGAGGAAAAGCCTTCAAGTCAGCCCGTCCGCGCCAAAGGGAGGAAGAAGTCCCACGTGCAGCCAATGGGATGCCCCGACCGCCATGCAGCCACGCAAGTCAACGTGAAATCCATAATGGGATGCAAAGTGCAGCAGCGCATGTCAACGCAAATTACCGTGTGCAATTCTGGTGTGAAGCCAGCCGGAACGGGGGAAAACGGCACAGCCGGCGGCAGACGAGACGGTAAAAGGCACCTTCACCAGAACGGAGAAGATTTACAGACGATGGAGGAGACGCTGGAGGAGACGCTGGAGGAGACGCTGGAAATGAGCGCAGGAGAGGCATATGTGCCGATTCAGAGACTGGAGGGGAACATCGTCCATGCTGTTCCGGTTGAAGGACGGTTCAAAATGTTAGCGTCAGCCCACACGTGCCAGTCTGCTGCAGAGAGGGTCTGCCGCAACGGGTCTGCCACCGCAGGTCTGCCACAGCAACGGGTCTACCACCGCAGATCTGCCACAGCAACGGGTCTGCCACAGCAACGGGTCTACCACCGCAGATCTGCCACACCGGGTCTGCTACAGCAACGGGTCTGCCACAACGGGTCTGCTACAGCAACGGGTCTGCCACAACGGGTCTGCCGCACCGGGTCTGCTACAGCAACGGGTCTGCCACAACGGGTCTGCTACAGCAACGGGTCTGCCACAACGGGTCTGCCACCACAGGTCTGCCGCACCGGGTCTGCTACAGCAACGGGTCTGCCACAACGGGTCTGCCACCACAGGTCTGCTGCAACGGGTCTGCCGCAACGGGTCTGCCACCACAGGTCTGCCGCACCGGGTCTGCTACAGCAACGGGTCTGCCACAACGGGTCTGCTACAGCAACGGGTCTGCCACAACGGGTCTGCCACCACAGGTCTGCCGCACCGGGTCTGCTACAGCAACGGGTCTGCCACAACGGGTCTGCCACCACAGGTCTGCTGCAACGGGTCTGCCGCAACGGGTCTGCCACCGCAGGTCTCCCGCAACGGGTCTGCCACCGCAGGTCTGCCACAACAGGTCTGCCACCACGGGTCTGCCACCACAGGTCTGCCACCACAGGTCTGCCACCACAGGTCTCCCGCAATGGGTCTGCCACAACGGGTCTGCCACCACAGGTCTGCCGCTGCGGGTCTGCCACAACGGGTCTGCCACCGCAGGTCTGCCACAACGGGTCTGCTACAGCAATGGGTCTGCCACCGCAGGTCTCCCGCAACGGGTCTGCCACCGCAGGTCTCCCGCAACGGGTCTGCCACCGCAGGTCTGCCACAACAGGTCTGCCACCACGGGTCTGCCACCACGGGTCTGCCACCACGGGTCTGCCACCACAGGTCTGCCACCACAGGTCTCCCACAATGGGTCTGCCACAACGGGTCTGCCACCACAGGTCTGCCGCTGCGGGTCTGCCACAACGGGTCTGCCACCGCAGGTCTGCCACAACGGGTCTGCTACAGCAATGGGTCTGCCACCGCAGGTCTCCCGCAACGGGTCTGCTACAGCAATGGGTCTGCCGCAACGGGTCTACCACCGCGGGTCTCCTGCAACGGGTCTGCCGCAACAGGTCTACCACCGCAGGTCTGCCACAGCAACGGGTCTGCCGCAGCAACAGGTCTGCCGCAGCAACAGGTCCGCCGCAGCAACAGGTCCGCCGCAGCAACGGGTCCGCCACAGCAACGGGTCTGCCACAGCAACGGGTCTGCCGCAGCAACGGGTCTGCCACAGCAACGGGTC